TTGGTTTTACGATATTTTCAATTTTGGCCTCTAGGGGAAAAACAAAAGACGATAGCGCTATGAGGTTTTCGGCATTAGCAGTTTCTCGAAAAACGAGATCATGACATGTAAGCTACTTTTTTTCTAACTCTTATAGTTTCCGAGTTAGCCTATTCGGACATCAAATTTGAAAAATTTTGGTTTTAAAAACATGGTGAAATTTGGCAAAAAAAAAAACTTAAAATCACTCTAAAACGAAAAATGCTAGGTACCAGTAACTTTTATTAAAGTGAACATATTTTTTCTCATATAATTAAAGGGTGCAATAAAAACTATAGCATTCCATTTGAAATAACGAAGTTGAGGTCTACTTCCGGTGGACCTGAAATGGCCACCATCTTGAAAATACTTTAGATCGAAACCTCCCATATAAACTAAATTTCAGAAACGGAGATGATATTCGGTGGACACTGTATATGTAAATTATGAAATTATTAAAATTAAAACTTGCATACATATGTACATCTTTTTTTAACAAAGGGTTGTTCTTTTCATACAAATTTCATTTTAATTAAACTAACAAAACGAACTCACTTATTCTTTGTTCTTTCTTAAAAAAGAGGCTTAAACGTTAAAATTACAGCGAAATTAGTTCTTTATTAAAAATTTGAGGTCATGTTTTAAAAAGAATTTTTCATTACTAACTTATAATTAGGACGTAGTATATTTATGACATTTTTGACTTTTGACGTTTTATCTGTCAAACTTGATTTTGATGTAAATTTAAATTTTTGAAATAAGATTTAATTTATTTTGATAGAAAATAATCACCGTAAACCCTTGAAAACAAATCGAAATGTCAACAACAAGAACCGTATCAATGACAATGATGATAAAAGTCACCCTTTAAACGCGGCAAACTCCCTCCCAATTGTGATTACAATTCGTTTCTTCTCCCTCACCCCTCTCGTTTTTGTCCGTCACAACACGCCATACGCCAACAACATTGTTCGCAGAAATTGGAAATGATAATAAACCAACCCGGAAAACTGGACGACCATTTCAAGCAATTTTAACTCCACTTCCACCACCCGAGATCTCCTTCCAATCTTATGAGCCCTTTATTCAATAATTACCCCATCTATTGTTCATTTAATAAATTGAATGTCATCGTTGACTTAAAAAATGAATATAAATTAATTGACCACAATAAAATTTAGTTAATGTTTTTTGAAAAGTAAAATTTATTTTGAAATCGAATTATCATGAAGACTTTCTTGATTTCTTATTCAATTTAAAGGGGGGAAAGATGAGATACCATAGTAAAGAAATCGTTATTTACATAAGCGGGGTTTTTGAAAGCTCGAACTCTCGTTTCTATTATCACCCTAGTGAAGCCGGAGAGTTGTGCGTGCCGCAAATTAAGCTTTTAAAAAGGGCGGAGAAAAAGAAAAATAAAGGTTGTTAAGAAAGAAAGAAAAATAGCGATTGAAAGTTGGAGACGGAAGAGGATTGAGGAGTAAACAGCTTTTTAGATTTGAATCTAGCCCGATTTTTAATATAACTTGAAATCAGGAAAATGTTTTGTTTTAATTTGTGTGTAAACGATAATATTTAATCAAATTTTGAGTTAGAAAATAACACATCGTAGGTAAATGGTTCGAAACGGCGTTAAAAGCGCAAATTAATTAATTAATTAACAACGATCGTTGCTGTGTACCATGCGGTATGGATACATTTTAGGCGCGACTCGGAGTTAATTAAACGAAATTTAGTTTACTTAATGCGGTACCACTAATTTCGCATTTAGGTTGCAAATCCCGTTATGAATAATTTTCTATAAATAAATCTTTTAAAATGTTCATAATATTAGCTACATATACAAAACAATTTCTACTTTAACCAAAGCACGAAAATATTATGATAATTGTGTAATTGCTTATAGTTTCTTAACTTACTCAAAAAATTTATTGCGCCCTATGCCATACTTATTGATGGAAGATTATGATGTTATTGTAACGCCTCGTCTGCAAACGACTTCGGCGT